AAAAAATGTACATAAACATATGACGTATTAAAGGTAGTTTATTTTCAAGTTCTGCTTTTAAGCTTTCTTCACGGATGAGAAATTTGAGTTTTGGGTGGAACTGGCTTTCCTGAGGCATGAGGGCTGTGAAGTGGGGAAGCTCACCATTTTGTCCATTTTGTACTTGAGTTTATTCTCAAGGGTTTGCTGTCATTTGTCTTCTGATAGATCGGTCTGTCACCAAACAATGCTAAATCTGGTTATTAATTATAACACGTCCTTCAGGCTGTGGGGTCCATTGTTCAGTCAAATCTGTTCCTAATATTTCACAATAAAGATTTTTGTGGTAAACTTATATTTCTGTTCAAGGACAAATAAAAATGTTCTTTCATTACCTAATGATTTTTGGAAGACCTGTAAAGCTCCAGTATTGCAGTTTGCTTTGTTGCCCTAATGAATACAATCTGGACTCTTTTATAATAGGAGAAAATGTCCCTAGCCTTCATTGGGTGGAATGCTTTTATGGAAGCATCAACAGGTGTATTGGGAAACCGTATGCTATGCTGGTCTTCATATGTTTGTGGGCCTCATTTATTGGTTCTTCCTTGTCTAACTATAATCCATATAGATTATGTCTATATTTTAAATGCAATAACCCACTTCAGTGACTGTCACAAGGGAAGTACATGGGGCTGACATTGCTAGCTGCCTCCTGAGCATGCTATTTGCCTGGCTGTGACTAAGTGCTTTAAGTAACACACACTGAGCATGAGTTTCAGAATTGCTGACGGGGAACAAGCATAGAGATGAGGAATTCTATCGGCTTGACCGTTCGGTTAGGGGTGGACAATGTCCAATCTAGGAGCCAGCAGGAGGCGGCTCCATTGGCAACTTTAATTTTTAAGGAGCATTGGCGACCTGGCTCCTGGGGTTTGTCTAGCCCCAAGTTAGGTAAATGGCATTGTCAAAAGAGTTAATCAATGGCAGCTTCTTATTCCATTGCAATTGTTTCCCTTTTAATTGTGGGGTCTGAGTAATTGATGGAGCACCGTCCCTTGGCACACTCACAAATATTTTGTAACGGGCTTTCATTAATGAGACGCACTTTATGGGCACCATTATTTCCAATGGTGACTAGGCTTCAGTTGTCAATTTCTTACAGCATTCGGGGCAAATCATCAGATTGTGTTCCCATCCAAAAGGGGCAGGGCACTACCCCAAAAAGTATATGTAAGGCCTCTTCCTTGCTCTTATTGCCCTTTTGCAGCATCCCACATGCAGGAGGAATGTTGGTATTGCAGCATCCCACATGCAGGTGGAATGTTGGTATTGGCTATGACTAAACTGAAGCTGTTTTGTCATTAATGGCTCATATATTGATTCCAGCTCCTAAATCCAGTTGAGGTTGGTAGTTTCAGGCTCTTTGACTTTCTTTCTGCCAAAAAATGCTCCCACTTTTGCATCATCAGACTTGCATAAGTAAAGAAGGAATTTTACAATGTTTGTCAGCCAGTATGAAGTAATCTTATGCCCTTCTTTACTTAAATGGGTCTGTAGGAAGAGAGAGCTGGTCTAAGTGCCGATGTGTCACTACTCCCAAGGTGTTTAAAATAGAGAGGGGAATTTATCAAAATTGGAGCAGACAAAATCTGGAGCAGCTGTGCATGGCAACCAATCGGCTACTCCTTTCATTTTCAAACCTAAACTGAACAAACTGGAGAAAGATGCTGATTGATTGCTATGGGCAACAGCTCCAGATTTGATAAATTCCCCCCATAGTTTCTGTGGGAAAACCTTTTTGGAGATGCACTCCAATTGGAATGTTTGTGTTTTTAAGTTGATGGACTGATACGAGGGAGCCTGGCACAAGAATAATTGCAGTTTGTAGGTGTGGGCCAATATGCTTGTGACCAAATGGTGTGTGACCTGTCTAATGCCATAATGTTGAGATGGTGAGGTGCCCATTGAAATGCAGTCATATATTTTTATAGGCATGGTTGTCCATAGGTGGTCAACTTCAGATATTATTCCATAGCATACTTCAAGAAGCAAAAAGAGAACAAGGTTTATGGTATCTTATGATTGCGTGAACATTTCTTAAACTGTGTCCAAACGGAGCTCCTCTTATAGTTTTGGTTTGGCTCTGAGACCTTTTGAAATACTTGGTTATGCAAAACTTCAGCATTACTCAGATGGGTTAGACCATGGAATGGGGTTCAAATTAGTTCTGGTTATTTTTAAAAAGATTATATACAATGATTTTTTAATCAAAAGATGATGCCAATTCCAATAGATTTTCTCTCTTGATTTTTCTAAGACTCAAAGTTCCTGGGCAATTGGAGTGGAATCTACTGAGAAGTCAAAGATGATCGCTCCTAATGTGAATTGCTTGACGCTTTATGGACTGGAATGAACTCTGATTAGGCTATCCAATTCAAGAACATGCTGCAAATGGACTTCACTGCTGAAGCTCTGACATTCTTTCTTGGAATTTACTTTGACCTGTTTGTATGGTTTTTGGAAACTTTTGTATCCCATTTACATCTGCATATAAATGATTGTACATGTTTGATGATGCAAATTGTCCAAACCTTTTAATAAAAGGAAAAAAATGTTTAACAACTGCTTGTCTCCTTTTTGGTTAAAGATAAAATTGTGCAAATTGCTTGCAGAAGCTGCAAAAATCATTGTTTGTGACTATGTATGTAGGTGATAATGCATGGAAGACTGGCATGAAATGGTCATAGCTGAAATAGGGGTTGTCGCTGAACACCACAAACTTGCAATGATACTTCAATCGCCTGTTTTTAAAATGCCTAAATGAGGTGGTGCCCATTTAACTGCTTGTCTACGTACCTTGGTTTCCAAACCCCCTTCTGTGCTGACATCGTTCTATACATAACATCATATATAGTTGTCCCAAAATAATCCAGATGTACTTCCAATGTGTAGCACTGGAAATGATGCCCTAAATCTTGCAGCAGAAGACTTAGTCCTTGTGCAATTATCAGTATCACGCTGGTGATTGCAAATGCCAGTTTCTTTGACCAACAATTATTTTAGTTGTTGGTAATATTTCTAATTTACAATATTCTTACAAATAAAAAGTGGGGCGGGACTGGGCGTCACATGTAATGTTGCTGAATGGGTTTGGCTATGTAGTTCAGACACCGTGGTGTCTGATCATCACATTGGTTTCAATGGATGGGTTTGATACATAGATCAACCAATATGGAGTGTGATCCGTCACATTGGTTTCAATGGATGGGTTTGATACGTAGGTCAACCAATATGGAGTGTGATCCATCACATTGGTTTCAATGGATAGGTTTGATACGTAGGTCAACCACTATAGAGTGTGATCCATCACATTGGTTTCAATGGATGGGTTTGATACGTAGGTCAACCAATATGGAGTGTGATCCATCACATTGGTTTCAATGGATAGGTTTGATACGTAGGTCAACCACTATAGAGTGTGATCCATCACATTGGTTTCAATGGATGGGTTTGATACGTAGGTCAACCACTATGGAGTGTGATCATCACAATGGGTTCAATGGATTGGTTTGATACGTAGGTCAACCAATATGGAGTGTGACCATCACATTGGGTTCAGTGAATGGGTTTGATGCGTACATCAACCACTATGGAGTGTGATCCATCACATTGGTTTAAATGCATAGGTTTGATATGTAGGTCAACCACTATGGAGTGTGATCATCTCAATGGTTTCATTGGATGGGTTTGATATGTAGGTCAGCCAATGGGGCGTGTGATCATCACGCTGGTATCGATGGATAGGTTTGATACATGGTTCAACCACTATGGAGTTTGATCATCCAACTACTGTCAATAGATGGGTTTAATATCTAGGTCAACCTAGACCTGGATGGATGGGTTTAATATGTAGGTCACCCAGACTGTCTGATCTTGACACTGAATTCAATGGATTGGTTGGATGCGTAGGTCAGCCATTGGGGCATGTCGTCATCATCATATTGCTTTTAATGGATGGGTTTGGTCATCAGATTAATGTCAATGGATGGGTTTAATCTATAGGTAGATCACCATAGACTTCTATTTCAATGGATGGTTATGATGTATAGGTCAACCACTAGAGAGGCGCCATTGAGGTGATGGGCTTGTTGAACACATTCAAGTGGTTTTGTATTGGGCACTGGAATAACCTACCAAAATATTGGTGTTGTGTTCCCAAACACCCATTGGAGGAAGTCACATGAGTATTTATAAGCACCATCTGCCCCTCTACCCTACTTCCCACAAAGAGCGCTAATGCCTCATCCCATGGCAGGAGCCATCTTAAAACTTCCTCACAAAATGGCTTACTTTCAAACTACTTCCTGTCCACAAAGGAAGTGATTATCTCAAGGACAGCAGCATGGTAAAGCTGTGAAGACAAAGGCTATTAATTGGGTTTCTTTTTTCCTGCCTGGCTCCTAAAGGGTGCATCCCCCCCCCCTCATCAAGAATGCTCCCCCCAACTTGGGGTGTCCGTCCTGGGGGTTCCCCTGTCCCTCTGCCCCATAGCTGAGTACTGTGTGCTGATGGTGGAAATGAAGGGGTGGGTCTTTAGTACATCACCTGAGTTGTGGGGTAAATGTAGAGAGTGTCAATCACAGGCAGAGCTCAGAGCTGGGAAGGAGCTACAGATGGCGGCTGTGCCTTAGAGAGCGCACTCAGCTCGCCGCATTCCCTCTGCCACTCCGCTCAACTTTGTTGGAGTTCGGGCCCTCTCCCGGGACCCCCCATCCCCTGACAGTAGCCCTGTGCTTGTGGGGGAGCCGGGCACCCCTGAAATCTGCGTATTTTGGAGCTTTTTTTTGGCTTCCCCCGATCCGTGCGGGAGACAGAGCCGAGGACTGAGCTCGTTGTTTTCCCAGCTCATGGCGCTCCTCCATGTATGATCGGTGAGCTCAGCCCTCTCCAGCACCGACTGTGCTCCATCCCCAGCACCCGGACCCCCCTCCGCTGCACCCCAACATCCCCTCATTCCTATTCCTTTACATTATTATCTGTTTTTTCCCTTTTTTTTGGAAATTTTTCCGGCTTTTACCGCTATCAGGATTACAATGCTCCCCGCAGCCGATCGCCGCCTGGATTGAACAGGTGAGCCCCCGTACCCTCTCCCCGATGCTCTTTATGGACGGTTTGGACCATTTTGGGGCTTTTTCACCACTTTTCTGTTCGATGACGCAATCGTTAATGATTTTTGTCCTTTTGATTCCGGGGCGAGGCGATCTCGTCAAACTTTGACTGTGTCATCTGGCATCAAAGTTGTGATCACGTTTGTGGGGGACAGGTTTTTGGGGGATCCCCGGCTGTTTCTCCCCTCTCCGTGCTTTGTTATCGATCAGCCCCGATTAGCTCCGGAGATGGCAGTCCGTCCTCGGGACGGCGGGGAGACTTGTATAGAGCAGGCATTGATTTGGCTGGGGGGATCTCTTACCTTTCTTTCAACTTTTTGACAGCAAATAACCTGAGCACCCGACTTCAAAGAGCAAGTCTGCCCCAGAATCCGGACAGGATGATGAGCAATAAGGAGAAAGGCACCGAGGATGAGGGTGGCTCAGCCCACAGCAATGTATCCAGGTAGGCTTTGGAACTTTGTTGCACTTGTTTTCCCTGTCTTTGTAGATACACAGCTGACCTGCACTCATGTGCCCCCTCTGTTCTCCTAGGCACCCCCACATTTTTTTTACACATTTATCTGCTTTTGTTTCCAGCTCTGACCTTGACTTCTCCCGATGCCACACCCTATTTTTTCCTGGTAATTTCGGAAACTTGGAAAGTCTTTTGAAAGGCCCTGATACACCATTCCACCGAGCCCCCATGTTCCCTTACTCCCACCAATACCCCATTTTATCATCAATTGTATCATTTACAGTCCTTTTTATGCCTCTTCCGACATGACCTTGTGCTTTTTTAGCCTCCACTGCATTGCACCATTTTCTGTTCGCTACACAATTTCAGAAGTTTTATTTCACACACAAGGCCAAGATAAAGCCTCGGTGTAAATTATGTCAAATTAATCCATTAGGTGGTCTCTGGGGAGGGATGGGTTTGCCTTGCTCCCTAGTCGCTCATCTATACACGTTTTCCCTTTCTTTTTTCCTTATGGTCCCTTTAGCTGCTTATTTTGATATGTTAACATTTTATATCATGTTTTTTTTTGCATTATTTTACCAGCAGCTCACAACAAAGTGCATATACACAGTGTATACATACATAGTCTATATTGATATATTAATCTTTACATTCCATTCTTTTTTGCATTATTTTACCATCGGCTCACATCTAAGTGCATATAACTTGTGTGTGTGTGTGTGTATGTATATGTGTGTATATATAATATATACATATACGTACGTACGTACATACATACATACATACACGCACGCACACTTTTTTTTATATATATATATAGACATTTATATTCCATTTTTGTATCCTTTTACCATCAACTCACACCTAAATGCATATACACTGTGTGTGCGTGTATATGTGTGTGTATATATATATATATATTACACACACACACACTCTTAATGTGTCATTTGTTTACAGTTTTGTGTTATGTTGCTGCTTATTTTACATCTTTTAGAACAAAAAGCATTAAATGGTGGTTATAAATTGTGTTGCATTTATAACCGTCATGGTGAAAGCTATTTATAACCTCCCAGTGCAACTTTGCTAATTTAATGTCTAAGGCATATTAGGGGCACCCAGCATGTGGGTATTAAATATATATGTGTATCACAGCATAAAGTACCAAACATAGACTCAGCTGACCTGTCCATACATTTTCACACGCCTCAACTACCATTTCATGACCTTTACACTGTTTTGAAAAGTATTGGTAACTTCTTCCACTAGTTTACGTATATAAATATTTTTGTATCCACTCCTATAGTTTGTTTATAATTACAAGTACAGATTCTCCTGGAGAACATTCTAGGATTTATGTTTAGTAAATAAAAATATGAAACAGCACGGGTTTTCCTCATTTTGTATTTGTTTTGAAGACATCTGTTACCTCTAGGTTAATGTTATGAAGTTTCACCAGCTTGCTTCTACCTAGGAGCTGACATTTTATATTTTGTGTTTGCTGTAGCGTGGTTCCTGTGGTATGTCTCATTTACTCACACCTTCCTTTTTTCTTTGAAAGAATCACATGTGATTCCACTAAAATGATACCCTGTGAGCTGCAATACAGGTGGAGATGTTTAGGAAAGTTGATGGTCAGGTACACAGCCTTGTGTTTATTGCAGCGAATATTTATGACACGATGGTTTAGTTTTAATGCAGCTAAAGGGTTAATGGTTGAATTATATGAATTTTGCAGGATACAAAAGTCCTGACAGTTTTACATCCCACTTGGGGCTGTGTGTATGATGTATGTGTGTGGATATATGTGTACTCTTGCTGAAAAAAAGCAGTTCTTTCCAAATAATTTAGACAGTTATTTTCTTTTAATAAAAATAAAAGGTTATGACGTTATAAAATATATAAAATGCAAAACAGTCACTGTTGTTTTTAATTGCCAAACGACTCAGCTGCACTGTAAAAGTCCAAAAATAAAAAGGAAAAGCAGATTTCTGCTGCGTTCTTCCTTGTTCTATCATTGTGCTTGAAGTACATTTTGTGACCGGCAGCCATTTTAGGAAAATGCCTTGGATAAAATAGCAGCTATATGATTAGATACTCGTGTTTTTTCTTAGACTTATGTGTACATAAATGAATGAGGGTGAGCGATATGTTGTTGTCAGGGAAAACAATTGGGTAGAGTGTGAAAATTGGAAGGAGGACTGAAAAAAACTCTATTTTAGCGTTCTCTATTTCAGTCACAAAATGGCTTTTCCTTTGTGCTGCAATGCTAGGCTGACATTCTACGAGGCACTGTGTGCACTCCACAAGCAGGAGGAGGAAGTTGCTTTCTAGGAGTTCAAAGGCCATCTTGTGCCTTCTGCATCTCCAATTGGTTCCTCCATCCCTTGGTAACTGTGGGCGTCAGCACATCAGGCTGCGCCCGCCCCTCCGTGTGATGTCAGTGCAACCTAACACTCCCTTTTTGACAAGAAAGCCTCAGCTTACTCAGCCAGCTGGGAATAGACTGTGTGTGCTCAGGCTGCTTTCCTTTCACATGAAAGGGGAAATGTGAAGCGAGCATAGCTGTTCAGCTTTCTTTTTACCACTCCTATAATTTATAACGTCTCATCTGTACTGGCCTAAACATTATTCCTGCTATCATAGTTTGCTTGGGTATTTCACTGCTGACTAAATAAATGATACACTTCTATCTAAGGCAGTCATTAATGTATTTATTTATATAGCACTGACAATTTTACACACAGTTTTTATTTTAAATAGTGCACATTCACATCAGTCCCAGCCCGCAGGAGCTTACAATATAATCTAAAGGTCCCTATCACATACTTGTATACAGGGGCCAATTAACCTGCCAGCATGTCTTTGGAGTGTGGGAGGGAACCAGAGTACCCAGGGGAAACCCACACAAGCACAGAGAACATGCAAACTGACCTGGATTTGAACAGGGGTTCCTCAGTGCTGTAGAAGTGCTATTTTTTAATTATTATTATTAATTACAATCATTTATATAGCACCTTCATTTCATGCAACACTTTACATACTTAAAAAAAAATATTTATTACAGGTATTTATATAGCTCCGACAATTTATAGAGCACATCAGTCCCAGCCCTCAAGCAGCTTACAATCTAAGGTCCCTACACATACAGGGCCAATTTACACAGGAGCCAATTAACTTTCTAACATATTATTAATTTACCGACTAAAGAAAGTATACATCTGTATTGGGCAGTCAAATTCTTATTTCGTTACAGGCATTTATATAGTGCCCTCAATTTATGCAACTTTTTATTTTATTTACTGCTAACTAAACAAAAATACACACCTATCGCAGGCAGTCACAAATCATTTATTACAGTAATTGATATAACACCTATTCATACAGTGCTTTACATACTATTTATTTACTGACTAAAGAAATGATGCACCTATCCCAAGCAGTCACAAATTATAATTGTATTTATTACATGCGTTTAGGCCTCTTTTACACGGGCAGTCCGTTCAGATCTGCCTGTCAGTATCTCACACGGATGTGATCTGAAGCCCAATGCAGCTCTATGTCCATTCAGATCTGCCTGTCAGTATCTCACACGGATGTGATCTGAAGCCCAATGCAGCTCTATGTCCATACAGTTTCTCACATGGATCTGATCTTAGGCCCCCTTCACACCAGGGTGGTTTGGCCGCTCAGATCTGCCGACATGAACGATCCCATACATTGCTACGGGGACCATTCATGCGACCGCGCGGCTCGGCGCGATCCGAACTGCCTCCCGCCCGAATTGCTCCCTGAACCTGTTTTGCCGCGGTGATTAGTGCGGTTTCCATACAGCTTTCAATGGAACCACTCTGATTAGCGCGGTTTTGGGTGTTTTTAATTGCGTTTCAGCGCTGAACTCCCAAAACCTCCCTTTTTTTAAATCAGCGCAGAAACCGCGCTGATCCGCAGCCGCCCTGCAGTGAATGGGCTTTGAAGCCCAATGTAGCTATATGGGAGCCGGATGGACAGACAGAATCTATTTACCCCTGACTATGTCCAGGTTTTGGCAGCCCTGATCATGACGGATCTCATGTAAATGGAAACGTCTGCTTACAACTGACTCCCCATAGACCTAACATGGGTCTGTACAGCTCACTTTCTTTCCTCCACTTGACAAAAACTGAATAGACACGGATGTCGCAAGAGTGACATTGTGTTCCTATTGCTCTGATCAGCAGGGGATCTGCGTACGGATTCCTTGCTGATCAGAACGGACGGTGCCTGTGTGAAACGCCACGTCGGTGTACATTTTGTAAATTCACATCAGTTCCTCCCTCAAGCAGTTTACAATCTAAAGTTCCTGTACTACATGTATAATGTAGACACTCCACACTAGGGCAAATTAACCTACCAGCGTGCCTTTGGAGTGTTGGAGGAAACCCACACACGCACAGGGAGAACATGCAAACTCCATGCAGATGGTGTCACGACTGATGTTCAAACCGTAGACCCCCCCCCACTGCTGCAAGGCAGGGGTGCTAGCTGCTAAATAGTTGATGAGGTAGATGGGTAACTAACCTATAGCTCCCTTGTTTGTGTGGGTCTAATCATCCCAGCATGGCATCAAGTACAGACTTGTTCAGGCAGCTGGAAAAACAGGTTAGCTAAGTTTGTAGCAAACAGTATGCTCCATATATAAACCTTGTGTCCGAGCACCTGTGTCTTACCTAGCAAAGGGGGTGGGAGTTGGGTCACAACAAACATGCATCAATTTCCAGTCGCATGAGACGACAATAATCTAATCAGCTAAACAAGGGTGGTTCATAGTGTGGATTACAAAACAATCCACTTGCACTTAAACATGCCCCGCCTGCACAATCTGAAATCCTATGCCGATCACATGTCAGGTTTTTTTTATTTCATTCCATCATTTTTCAGTCCACAGTAGCTGTGATAACAATTCTCTAGTTGCAGTAGGAATATGGGCCTAAACCAGTCACATG